GGGACTACCGGCGAAGGAGTGACCAGGAACAGGGGGGGGGTAACCGGGGGACCACGGTGGGGGAAGCGACGGTAGTAGGAGACGGACTCGTCAAAGGTGACGTCACGAGAGTGAAAGAAGCGGTGAGACGGCGGGTGGTAAAAGTGCCAGTCGGACGCGTCAAGGGGAAAACCGAGGAAGACGCAGGGAAGGGTGCGGGCAGTGAGCTTGTCCGTGCCGGAGGCACGGACGTGAGCAAGGCAGCCCCAGACGTGGAACGCAGACGCGTCACCAGGAGACCCAGTCCAAAGACGAGTCGGCGAAACCTGCGGCTGCGGAGGGTGCGGCCACAAGTTAAGCTGGTGAGAAGCGTAGCGCACAGCGAACGGCCACAGAAAATGGGGTGCACCGGCATGGATCATGGAGGTGCGAGCCACCTCCATGACCAAACCGATGCGTCGCTCAGCGACCCCATTCTGCTGTGGGGAGTCCGGTAGGGTGAACGTCTGGGTGATGCCCTCCGCACGACAAAAGCGACCAAGGACACCTGAGGCAAACTAGCCACCACGGTCGGAGTGAAGACGCAAGACAGGGAGACCGCGGTGGACACGCGCAGAGACAAGCCAGGGGATGAGAGCGCCAGGCACGTCGGCCTTGCGCTCCAGGGGAAAGACTGTGGTGTAACGAGTGAAGTCGTCGACAAGCACAAGGAAGTAGCGCTCTCGACGCGGCCCAGGGACGGGGGCGGGGCCCCAGACGTCCAGGTGCAGGGTCTGCAGCGGCGCGGCGGTAGGGGGAAACGAGGAGGAGTGCGGGGCACGGCGAAGCCGACCCTCGACACAAGGCATGCAAGGTGGGGCTGGGGAGGAGGGAAACGCGGGGAGGGAACCTGGGAGATCAAGGACAAGACCGTGCTGGGACATGTGACGCAGACGCGGGAGTGCAGGGTGACCTAGGCGGTGGTGCCAAAGGAGAGTTGGGTGAGTGAGGGACCGACAGGAGCAGGCAGCAGCAACCTGGGTAGACGCAGCCACCTGAGGAGGCGCCCCAGCCGAGGGGGTCACGGTGTCCAGAGTGAACAGGCCGGACACCGGGTCCCGGGGGAACGTGGACAGGGGGGCACCAGTGGCGGCCTCGGTACAGACAGCATACCGCTCGTGACCAGGGAACGTAGTGGTGACGCCAAGGTCCTGCAGGCAGCCGACACCAACTAGGTTCCTGGAGAACGAGGGGATATGCAGACCTGTGAGAGTGCCCGAAGGAACCGCCGGACAGGGAAGGGTGGTGGAACTGCGGGCGACTACCGGACCGCCGGAGGGGTCAGCAAGAGAGACGGCAGCTGGGACAGGAAGCGGCGTCAGGGTGGTGGAGTCGCGGAAGAAACGCCGAGAAGCGCCAGAGTCCAAGGTGAAGGAAAGCGAAGCAGAGGCGTCTGGCAACGGAACGACGGCGGAAGCACCAAGACTACACAAAGCAGGGGATCCTACGCCTGACCCAGCAGGGGAGGCTAAGCTAGGCACACCTACACTAGGCAACAGTGAGTAATAAGCGGGAAGCACACTAGAGTCATCAGCATACATCACATGCAGAGCAGCAACAATGGCATACATGTCCATATCAAAGATCTGAATCTTACGACTAAGCAAACTGTGCCAGTCCGGGAGGTCTGGCGACGGGCCGAAGCGCTGACGAAAGAGGTCGTCCAGGCGACGAAAACAGCGGGGAGTGGAGTGACCGAGCCTACCGCAAACGAAACCGCGGCGAGGACCGGTCTGGATCTGGTACTGACAACGCCCGCCACCAGAGCCACCACTCGGCACACCACCACGCGCCCGGCCACCGCCAGCGCCGGGCCACCCGGGCGGGAGGACACTCGTCTGCCGCGTCTGCGACGGCTGCTGCGAAGGCTGCGACTGCGGCAGTTGCTGCGGCTGCTGCAACTGCAGGGGCGGCGGCTCAGCTGGACTGGGCAGGGTCCCCTCGTCCGCTCCAGCACCAGACGACCCGACCCCACCACTACCCCCTCCCGCACCCCCGCCGCCGCCGCCGCCGCGCCCAACCTTGGGGCGGCGGCCCTTCCCCGAACGAAACTGCGCTGCAGCAGCAGTCTCAGCCACTGCGGCAGAGCCGTCGGAGAAGGTACACTGGGCGGGGGCACAACCCTGAAAGATAGGGACCAGCACGACACCGCTCGCCTGGGCGATGGAGCGATGACGGGTCTCTATCACAGTCAGGGTGTCTACAAAGTCAGTGAGGGTGAGGTCTGCGGGGTGAATGCTAAGGAAGCGGTCGCGGGCGACAGCAAGGCGGTCAGGGAGGCGGGTGGCAAGCAGGTAGAGGGTAGAGGTAATGGGCGGCTGGTGGGCTCTAAGCTGTGCATCAGTGCAGGCTGCACGCCAGGTCTCATCTATCGAGCGCAGGTGGGCAGCGAGGTCAGAGACAGTGGGGAAAGATGCAAGGTCAGGAAAGAGCATCGGGAGGATCAGGCGACCCACCGAGGCAGCCGGAGGGGTGGAATAGCGCTGGATGACAGCATCTAAGTATGTCTGAGCAGTGGTGAGAGACCTAAAGCGAGGGCGCTCGGACGGGGGAAGGGCGTTGCTGATGGCAAGCTGGGTGACAGCATCGCGAGAAAGCCAGACAGAGCGCGCATGGGCAGTGGCAGCAGTGGGCTCGCGCTCAGTGGGTGTGGAGTCAGCGGGCAGAATAGCAAGGGGGCCTGGGCAGGGGAGCGTACCGTCAAGGTGTGCGGAGAGCGGTTCACCATCCTGCCGCTGGCCAGTGAGTTGGCGTCGGAGGTCGGCAAGCCACGCCTCGAACTCCAGAGGCTGGCCTTCAGCGTCGAAGCGAATCTCCGCCGCCATCAGGAACAATGCAGTGCGGTGCAGGGCAGTGCAGCAAGGTGGAGTGCAGTGCCGTGCGGTACAGTGCGATGCAGTGCGGTGCAGTGTGGTGTAGGGCGGTGCAGTGCGGTGCCAGGCAGTACAGGGTGGTGCGGGGCGGTGCAGTGCGGGGCAGTACGGTGCAGGGCAGTGCAGGCCGGAGGGGGGGGGGGGGAACCGTACCAGTGAGGAGGACCGGGGCCGGGGCAGGGACGAGCGCAGGGGCCGGGCCGGTGCAACGGGGCCGGGCGGGCGCGACGGGGCCGGGCGGGCGCGACGTGGCCGGGCTGGTGCGACGGGGCCGGGCGGGTGCGTCGGGGCCGGGCTGGTGCGACGGTGCCGGGCCGGTGCGACGGGGCCGGGCGAGCAGGACGGTGACCCAGGAGGGGCGCACCGGGGCTGGGCGGGCGCGACGGGGCCGGACGGGTGCGACGGGGCCGGGCGGCTGCGACGGGGCCGGGCAGGGGGCGACGGGGCCGGGCGGGTGCAACGGGGCCGGGCGGGTGCAACGGGGCCGGGCGGGCGTGACGGGGCCGGGCTGGTGCGACGGGGCCGGGCTGGTGCGACGGGGCCGGGCTGGAGCGACGGGGCCGGGCGAGCGCGACGGGGCCTGAAGGCGTGACGCGGCCCAGGAGGGGCGCTACGGGGCCCAGGAGGGGCACGACGGGGGCCCAGGAGGGGCGCTACAGGGGCCCAGGAGGGGCGCGACGGGGCCCAGGAGGGGCGCTACGAAGCCCAGGAGGGGCGCGACAAGGCCCAGGAGGGGCGCGACAAGGCCCAGGAGGGGTGCTACGGGGCCTAGGAGGGGCGCGACGGGGCCTGGGAGGGGCGCGACGGGGCCCAGGAGGGGCGCTACAGGGCCCAGGGAGGGCGCGACGGGGCCCAGGAGGGGCGCTACGGGGCCCAGGAGGGGCGCGACGGGGCCCAGGAGGGGCGCTACGAGGCCCAGGAAGGGCGTGATGGGGCCCAGGAGGGGCGCTACGGGGCCCAGGAGGGGCGCGACGGGGCCCAGGAGGGGCGCTACGAAGCCCAGGAGGGGCGCGACGAGGCCCAGGAGGGGCGCTACAGGGCCTAGGAGGGGCGCGACGGGGCCTGGGAGGGGCGCGACGGGGCCCAGGAGGGGCGCTATGGGGCCCAGGAGGGGCGCGACGGGGCCCAGGAGGGGCGCTGCGGAGCCAAGGAGGGGCGCGACGAGGCCCAGGAGGGGCGCTACAGGGCCTGGGAGGGGCGCGACGGGGCCTGGGAGGGGCGCGACGGGGCCCAGGAGGGGCGCTACAGGGCCCAGGATGGGGCGCGACGGGGCTAGGGGGGTCGCGACGGGGCTAGAGGCTAGGGGGGTGAGCGGAAGCGGTAGGTGGAGGGGGGGGGATCCTACCTACGCGTGATACCATATCAAAATTGAGAAGTGAAATGTGGATAGAGTGAGAGTACACACAGATATACCTAAGTGTTGTACTCTCTAAGAGGCGACCCTATACAGTCTATACAAACATGACAAATACACATGTTTGACATCAACTTCTATTGTTCCTTTCCCACCATGCTTGTAGTTTATAATTGATTCTATTGTTCCACGCCTCTTGTGTGTGGTTGTTCCATAAACAGGCGCTGGCCCAACCTCATGCTTCTCTGGCAAGCATGCGCGGTGTTACCACTCTCAACTGTGGAGTGCGAGCGTGGTTTTTCCAGGCAGAACGTGATCAAGTCTTGGGTCCGTGGTGCTCTGTGCAATGCCCGCCTGGGTGAGCTGATGATGATTTCGCTGCTGAGATACAACATCAACTGGCAAGAGGCGCTGGAGCTGTGGCACGCAAAGAAGAGAAGACCAGCGAAGTCGGTGGTGTTCGCATCACAAGAGAGGAAGGGCAAAGGCAAGGCTCTGCTGGAAGAGGCAGAGCAGGAACCTCCAGTGCCAGACTATTTAGGAGAGGATTGGAATGAGGAGGAGGAGGAGGAGGGGGAGAGGGATGGTGGAGGTGCAGTAGCTATAGAAGACAACCCCTTTCTGTTGGATGATGAGGCGGAGGATGTTGTCGCTGTGGATGTGCCTGAGTTCTAGCTAGGCTAGGAAATTAGACTAGGTGTAGGTTAACTGCCCGAATGTTATAAAATAATGGCGACTAAATGGTAAAATCACGACTCTGATTCATACTTGCGAACCCTGAAGAAATCAGACTTGAGAGTCACTGGATCCTGAGAAATCAGACTACCATGAAATCTGAAACCTGACTACTCAGACTTGGGAAAAAAATTTGGGGCTAAAATCAGAGTGGGTTTTTTTGATACGTCAGCCCTGCTAGCCGCGCCCTAGCCCTAGCCGCGCCCGTGCTACCTCGGCATTTACAGCAAACCCTGAAAAATGACAGCACTAGACTAGAGAGCCGAGGCAAACTAAGCACTTTCTGTGCCTGCTATCTATCGCCAAGAACCAGCAAGTGGTATCACAGATCCATCCACACTGGTGGCGCTCTCCCACTGCCCAAGGCACGCTCACTGCCCTCAATCACATAGCTGCAGAGGAAACAAACAGCCCAGAAGGATCAGCAAGGAAGATACGGTATGTGACAAGAGAGACATACCGCTGAACCAGCAGCAGACACAGAGAGGTTGTGGGCACAGGCAAGGCAAGGCATGGTAGCATGGGCAATGAACGGCGCGATGCATTGAAATGAGCGGTTGCAGCGACACGGCCTTTATTGAAACAATGTGAATGAATGGATGAATGGTGGCGCATGCATGAGGCAGGCATGCATGTGGCAGGCTTGCATGTCGCAGGCATGCATGTGGCAGGCATGTATGTGGCAGGCATGCATGTGGCCGGCATGCATGTGGCAGGCATGCATGTGGCCGGCATGCATGTGGCCGGCATGCATGTGGCAGACATGCATGTGGCAGGCATGCATGTGGCTGGCATCCATGTGGCAGGCATGCATATGGCAGGCAGGCATGCATGTGGCAGGCAGGCATGCATGTGGCAGGCATGCATGTGGCAGGCATGCATGGGGCAGGCATGCATGTGGCAGGCATGCATGTGGCAGGCATACATGTGGGCGGCATGCATGTGGCAGGCATGCATGTGATCAGGTGATACGAGGGCCTGAAGTGGGTGAGGTGCCTTCAAAAAGTGTGCTGCAATTTGGGAATGACGCATTGCGGGGAAGACGGCAGAGGAGACTTTATGAACAGAACAAAAAGCAGGAGGTGCGGAAGAAATTGCAGAGAGAACGGGCGGCAACAGGGAGTGGCAGAGGCAGCATCGAGAGGGGTTGATGAGATGAAATTCACCCATGCGGACCCACAGAAGCACAGGAGGCATGTGCTGTGTGGCTGGGAGTGGGTGGCAGGGGGTATATGCAACGCCTAGAGATGACATAGTTAGCAGGAAAGGATGGGGTATGAATCAGGCATAGGGGGGGAGGAGTGGGTATGGGGAGGGGGAGGGAATGGGAAAAGGAGGAGCACGAGCTGCCATCCAGAATCAGCAATGAGTGTGTACGGGCGGGTGCTTGTGGGTGTGAGTGTGCATGAGTGTATGAGTGTATGAGTGTATGAGTGCATGAGTGCATGAGTGTATGAGTGTATGAGTGCATGAGTGCATGAGTGCATGAGTGCATGAGTGCATGAGTGCATGAGTGCATGAGTGCATGAGTGTATGAGTGTGTGGTGGCACCGACCGAGCTGCATCAAGCAAAAGAAGAAGATGAGAGAAACCCGAGCAAGTGCCAGGGAAGCACGGCTGGTGTGGGTGGGTGCTTGTGGGTATGTGTGCGCTTGTGGGTGCTCAGCGACAGCAGTATGACCCCCAGCAGCAGACGCACGGTAGAGGGGCAAACACTGTTTTGCTGACACACCATCTCAGCTCTCATGTCGTCCTTTGTTGATAAGGTGAGACGACGGGAAAACGCTGCTGTAGAGGAGGGGGAAGGGGATAGAGAGGGCAGGAGGCATAGAGGACATCAAAGGCCTCTCGGCCAGCAGCCGCAAGAAGCGGTGTGGAGGGAGAGGGGTGGAAGAAGGGGGAGGCGGGGGAGAAGGGGGAGGGGGGGGAGCAGGGTTCTATTTATCAGACTTTTTTTGTCTGAGCGTCTGATTTGCAAACCCGAAATTGTGGCTTCAGACAGATTTTCAAGAAATCGGAACACTTTACCATGTACTTCTTGCACAAACTAAACAGTTATGTAAAACTTCATACACAACGTGTCTTCATAATAGGAGTTGCAGTTTCCAGATTCAGAAAATCAGACAAAAAAAGTCTGATAAATAGAATCCTGGGGGGGAGAAGGCGGGAGAGAAAGAGGGTGAGAAGAGGGAGGAGAAGTGGAACCGAGGGTCCGGTGCTGCACTTTGGGGGTAGCCCTGAGGAAAAACGGGTAGCCCTGAGGAAAAACGGGTACGATTTGCAGATTAGTAGAAACAACGCCCTGTGGGGGAAAAGGCAGAGGAGAGGGGGGGTTGAGAAGGAGAATAAGGTGCGGGGAGGAGGAAGGGAAGGGCGAACAAGGAATGTATGCGGCAGGTCGCATGGCTGATTCCTTTCTTCTCCCGGGAGCACGGTGTCCCAGCTCTGCCTGCTCCCCTCACCTCTCTCTTTCACCTTTAGGAGCCTTGCCTTCTCTTCCTCCCCCCCTCTCCCTCCCCCCCTCCCTCCTCCCCGCCCCCCAACTCCCATCTGCTGTCCCCCCACCCCACCCCCGTTCCCCTGTGCTCAGTGCCCCAGAACAGCCCCACTTTTGCTGCAACGCCTCCCCGCTTCCCACGTTTGCACATCGTTCTGCCCAGCTCCATCGTTCTCCATCGCCTTTTCTCCATCTTCCCGCCAAAGTCCGCTCCCCATCCACCCCTCTTGTCACACCACCTCACCTTGTCACGACCCCGCCTCACCTTGTCACGACCCTGCCTCACCTTGTCACGACCCTGCCTCACCTTGTCACGACCCCGCCTCACCTTTCCTCCCTTACCATCTCCCACCCGCCTTCCGCCTTCTCCCCTCTTTTCCCCGTCCCCCCCTCCCCCGCCTTCACTGCTGCTTTAACTTCCCGCATCACCTGCTGCAGTCGCCTCGCAGCCTTCAACCACTCACCAAAGCCCGATGCTCACTCCAGCCCGACACTCCTTCAAGCAGTCCCCCATTCGCCCTATCCGCCCCATCCGCCAGCATCCGCGCGCTCATCCCGCTCGCACTGATCTCCGTCGGACCATCTCCCATGGGCCGTCCGCCCGTCCGCGCAACCTCCATGCAGTCCTCCATCCGTGCCCCCCGCCGTCTCTACCCAATCTCCCGCTCCTCCCGTCCTGGGCAATTTCCCAAGGGACCGTCTCCTCATCGCCAGGTCGCATCCGTCACGGCTTGAGTCGCCGGCCGCCTCAATATTTGCTCGTCTCGCCGCTTCTGCTAATATCCCGTGGGACCAACCATTTCCTGTGAATCAGTTCCCATCCGTCACTTGCAGCGCGACTGGGATGGCGGGACAGAGCAGCAGCAAGAGAGACCATTCTCGAGCCGAGGAACCCGTCAGTTGCTCTCAATGTAGCGAGCCGTGAGAACGTGCACATGGCTGTCGATACGAGAGACTTGGTTGGTTCGGGCAGGTGGAAAATGACGTGGCGAACGGAAACTACGCGCTGATGGAAGGTGAAGTTATGAGAATGCGGGGGGCCTCGTGCCAGTATTGCTGGTGGTGATGGTGATGTGTGAGGGGATGAAGCTGTGATCGCGCGACTGCTCGTACGGATATGGCTGGAGGAGATGGGTGAAGAGGTGGCGGGGCGGGCGGCAGGCTGCGGGGATCCGCGAATTAGGGGCTGGCGAAATGGGGTGTGCTCTGGCGAAATGGGGTGTGCACTGGCGAAATGGGGTGTGCTCTGGCGAAATGGGGTGTGCACTGGCGAAATGGGATGTGCTCTGGCGAAATGGGGTGTGCTCTGGCGAAATGGGGTGTGCTCTGGCGAAATGGGGTGTGCTCTGGCGAAATGGGGTGTGCTCTGGCGAAATGGGGTGTGCTCTGGCGAAATGACACAGGCATCGAAACCAAAAGCATTGGCGACAACGAGGAGTTGGCTTTGGTTGGGTCTGGCGAAAATGAACCGGCTTGGCGAAACGTGAATTGAATGTGCGAATTTGGAACAAATCGAGAATTCGTTGACGAAGGGTTATTTTCACCTTAAGAAGGGAAGTGACAACATGTACGAAAATGCACGACGAGCGCCAAAAAGGGGATGTGCCAGCCGGGAATCGAACCCGGGTCTGCACCGAACTCATGGCAGGGTGCTATTCTACCACTAGACCACTGGCACACTGAACACGTTAAAAGATAGACCATTTATAAACATTATAAACTACCTTTTTTTCTTCGCGCATGTCTCGCACAAGTAGATCCTCGCACGTGATCAGAATTTTCGTCGCCGCGAGAGGGTTGCATGTCCGAAAAATGTAGCGTGTACCTGGTTACAATCTAACCTCGAGAAGGCTGCATATTTCAAGAACCAATTGAGGCGCACGTGTATCTTCTTGAGGCTGCTGGATTTGACATTTGGTAATTTTCGAAACACGCCCTCGCTTCTGCGGGGTCATCTTCATTCCTGCTGTTTTCTCGTTTTTCCAACCAGGAATTCACACTCCCGATATTCCTTATGCCGTAACACCCACCTAAGCCATGGGGGATTGGCCTGACAAGCCTCTAGAATCTAGAAAACAGACGCGACTCTGCAAGACATTTAGTGGGTCAGCCAACCATGTGGCGACAGTTACGAGGCGAGCAAGACGACTACGCGAGATTCGTCCAGCAAGCGACATGACAGCCTACACATTTACATCTTAGCCAGTACATCCCTACCTCACGGTTCTTCGGGGAGATGAGGGCTTAGCACACCGCTCGCAGCAGCAATTCCGCGTGATCGTGAAGCCTTTGCCCCGCAGGAACCGCCTAAAGCATACTAGGTACGCAGCCTCGACAAAGGCATCGTCAGCGATTCGGAATCCGACCGTTTGGTCCCAATCCGAGCCACTTGAATAACGGCCCAGCGCGTTACCCAACATGCAGATCTCACTTGCCCTTCGCACAGTCGAACGCGTTACAATAATCACCGTTAGCTCGCTTAGGGATGCGGGGATTCTCGGGGCTCCTGGAAGGGGTCAGTCTGGCCTTGGGACGGCCTCTGGCGACTGCAGCGAAGCGTTTCGGCGATTTCAGAGGCGAGTGGTTAATCGGGCCGATCGCCTCTGAAGCTCCACAGTGCATGTGGATGCTTTTGTATTTCCAACCTCGACTTTACCGTCTCGATCCTGGTTGCAGCTTGTGCGTCATCCCTTCTCTCGTCAAGCGCTCCTTCCCCCAGGCTTCTCCTCCTCCCTCATCCCACACGCTTCTCCTCCTCCCTCATCCCACACTCTTCTCCTCCTCCCTCATCCCACACTCTTCTCCTCCTCCCTCGTCCCACACTCGTCACATCGCTGCCCCCACCAGGAGAGGGCGGCGACCGCTGCTACACGTCCAGCCATTGTCCGTGCTTCGATCGCGCCATCATGTCCCTCCCTCCCACCACCTTCTCCTCCCCCCCCCTCATCTACATCCATCCAGGTCGCCACATCGCCGCCCCCGCCAGGCGATGGCGACGACCACTGCTGCACGTCCAAGCAGGAGCAGGTGGATCTTGTGTCCTCTGTGAGTCACTCTCCCTGTCTTCACTGTCCTGTGAGACAGGCATTTCTGTTTCCGTGCCCCTCGCGGCTTGACGTTCCGAATTAACCTCTGCCACACGTCCACGCAGGAGCAGCTCGATCTGCTCTCCACTGTGAGCCCGCCCTCGTGCCTTGAGTGCGCTGTGACTGACTGCATTGTCTCCACACCTCTAGCCCGTATGGCCGCTGCCACACGTCCAAGCAGGAACAGCTCCATCTACTCTCCACCGCGAGCCTACCTTTCTACCTTGAGTGCGCTGTGAGACCAGCGGTTTACAAGGGGTTTAATTTGCAGCCGCCTGCTGGAGGGAAGCGTGATGACAGCCAGGTTGCTTTCCGTTTCAAGATGCCACACGTCCAAGCAAAGCCACGCCTCTTGCTTTCTCTCTCTTCTGGCACTGAGTGTAGGCGATGGGAAGCCTAAGAGAGGAGGTCCTAGCACGTGACCGCCATCGTGAGGCGGGCTGAGCATTCCTCCTGTATTGTTCCTCCTGTATTGTTCCTTGTGTGCTGTTCCCTCTCGCTTCTCCTCCAGGTGCTGAGTGCAGGCGACGAGGCTCTGAGGGAGGAGGTCGTAGCAGAGGACTATGACGATCTGAGCCATATGTGGACCATCGTGAGGCAGACGGCAGTATCAATGAGCGCCATGTCGGGCGCCCAAGGGAGGATGTTCTTGGAGTACAGGTATGGTGCCATGATGTGTGCTCATATTCTAGGTATGGTGCCATGATGTGTGCTCATATTCTAGGTATGGTGCCATGATGTGTGCTCATATTCTAGGTATGGTGCCATGATGTGTGCTCATATTCTAGGTATGGTGTTGTTTGTGAGGCGGGACGGCAGCATCGATGAGTGCCATCTCTGGGGCTCAGTGGAGGATGTGCTTTTGAGTGCAGGTATGGTGCAAGGATGTGTGCTTCAAATAGGTATGGGTTTGTTTGTGAAGGGGACGGCAGCATTGATGAGCGGAACCCCTGGTGCTCACGGCCACATGTACACGGAGTACAGGTAGGATGGAATCCTGTGTGCTTGAATCATGGGCCGGGGTGTGCTCTCTCTGTAGCACTCATGAGTGCCTTGTCTGGTGTCCATGGATGCTTGTACATGGAGTACAGGTTGTATGTTATATGCCTTAATTTCATGTGTTTTTTTTCCGGACCTGAATTTCTTGATTTAAAACACATTCAACCTCCACACCCACTCTGTCCCTCCAATATTTTTCCGCCTGGCAGCACTGGCAGGGGTGGTGGAGGGGGGGGTCTGGTGGGGGGAGGGAAGGGGGAGCAGGGAGAGGGATAAAGCCCAAGGATCCAGCAAAGAGGCATTCTCTTTTGATGGGAACACACTGCGCACCGCTGCTTTGATAGGCGCACACTGCGTTGCAGCACTGCCATCAACAGTGCGACCGGTATTGGTTTGAGGTTCACTTCCGCGGGGTGCTGCTGGGTTAAGGAAAGGCAACATATTGAAACATGCTGCCAGCTTTGGCTCAAAGCAGAGCACCAGCATCACGCAGCAACAACAAGCTGGTGCTCAGTTGAGAAAGTATTGAAGCTCTTGAGAAAGGGGAGCTTCATTCAAGTCCTGTGCTGGGTCACAAACACAGTGACAGCGATGAGGAGTGATGCTTCAGTGTGTGCCTAGTCCTTTGCTGGTACAATGAAAGTTGAGATGCAAAACACATGTTCTCGGCTCCAATGCATGCAGCAGACCAACCTATGATGGGCGGCTAAAGAATGCAGCGCCACGTACTGTATGTGGTGTTGTGTCATATGGGGTACTCAGGTATTCAGCAGCTTCTGGCATTTGATGTCAACACATTTATATATTGTAATAGGCTAGATAGGTGCATGCTTATAGAGAGTACAGCACCATAGCACAAAACCTGCCTGTATGCTTCATTCTAGTCATTGCGTTATTCTGAGATGGTATCAGCTAAGTTAGGTCTACTCACCCGCACTTCCGCTCTAGACCGCCTTAGGTGCCCTAGCCCGCCCTAGCCCGCCCTAGCTCCCCTAGCTCCCCGCTGGTCCCTCGCCCGCTCGCCCTGTGCTCGCCGGCCCTAGCTCACACCGGCCTTTCGCCTGCTGTCTCCGCTGGCCCCGCTGGCCCCGCGCTCACCAGCTGGCCCTAGCTCGCCGGCCGTCACTAGCTGCGGTCGCTAGCTGCCCGTCGCTAGCCGCCCACTGTTGGGCCCCGTCGCTAGCTGCCCGCCGTGGCCCCATGCTTGCCGCTGGCCCACGCTCCCCACTGGCCCCTCGCTCGCCCACTGGCCCGGCGCTCGCGGCTGGCTCCTAGCTCGCCGCTGGCCCTTCGCTCGCTGCGCGCTGGCCCCCCCACTCGCCGGCCCTAGCTCGCTCGCAGGCCCTAGCTCGCCAGCCCTAGCTTGCTCGCCGGCCCTAGCTCGCTCGCTGGCCCTAGCTCGCCGGCCCCCGCTCGCTGGCCCCAGCTCGCCGGTGCTCGCTCGTCGGCCCGCGCTGGCTAGCCGGCCCCAGTTCGCGCCGGCCCCAGCTCCTGCCCGCCCCAGTTTGAACCGGCCCCAGTTTGCGCCAGCCCCAGCTACCGCCGGCCCCAGCTCCTACCGCCCCTGTGCGCCACCGCCGCGCCCCCAACTCTGCTTGCCGAGCCGTGCCGTCCCAGGTCGCCGTGCCGTCATGCCACTGTGCCGCCGTGCCGCTATGCCGCCGTGCCGCTGTGTCGCTGTGCCGCCGTGCCGCCATATCGTCGTGTCGCCGTGCCACTGTGTCGCCGTGCTGCCGTAGCCCTGGTGATGGCGGACGCTGTGCTCCGCCTTGACGCGGAGGGTCGGGCGGTTGATTTTGAGGCGTGGCTCGTCGACCTTCGCCATCAGCTGACGGGTGAGCGCCAGGACAACTATTCTCTGGCCGTCCATGTCGACGGTAATCTCACCTGCCCCGACGCGCTTGTTGCCCTCTCTGAAGCCCCCACGTCTGCTGAGCGTGAGGCCTTTGCCACTGCTGAGCTCGCACGCACTGTCTGGGAGTCGCGCGACGCCATAG